ATCTGTGAACTCTAGTGACTTCCCAGCCTCCCTTGTGATTAGTTTGGGACCAGTGCCTTCTGGCCAGTGACCCAAGAGGAAGGCAGCACCTTGTCCATTCTTACCTTCTCCACACAAGTCACCTTGGAGGTCACATACTCCAGTTGACAGGGTAGCCCGTGACCTCCCTCCCACTTCCCACGAGTGAGAAGTGAGCCTTTCCTGTGTGAAGTCGCTGAAATTTCAGAGTTTTTGTTGATTCATCATAACGTATTCTCTCCTGATTAATGAAATTACTCTCCAGTCCTTCTATGTGTATCATTAAGAGCTGTGTGCAGGAGAATCCACAGAAATTGGGAGCTCTGAAATTGGAACGTTGAACCACCGTGGAAGACTGGCAGTATCATTTCCACTTGTCAATTGGCATTAATTTTCCTACAGGCAGACTTGTACACGTATCATTTGGATAAAAATAATTAATTTTTACAAGTCTCTATTTCTAAATAACGTGGTTATAGTGCTCTGTCTTGTGATGTCACTTCAGACATTTTCTACCCCTTTTCTATCACTGCAGATGACGACTTAACCGGTCTATAGCTCCCACGACTTCTCCTCCCTCGTCTTCTCATTATATCACAATTTTTGGTTAAATCTATATTCACTATTTATTATTTATGACCATGTGAATATCATTGACTGCTAGGGAAAGTCTTGTACAATGGTTACGGTTATTTCCCGTGAAAGCTCCTCTTGCCTTGCTGGAGTTAATATTTATTCATTTTTCCTGTGTTTAGTTTATGTATGTAGCCATCAATAATTCTTTCTTCCTCATTCAACTGCTTGTCAGTTCTATTTTCCATGTGGCCAAAGGTCATGGGTCATTTTCCCGTTGTAACTTCCTGGAGGCCTCTCTCCTGGAGCTCCTCATGCCCTGGTTGGGGCTGGCCGGGTCGCTCCCCAGGCTTGCTGCACAGCTCGCATTCAGGATCCCATTTCCTGGAATCCATGTCTTCCCCCTGCTTGGTTTACCCTCTTGTGTTGGTGGAGCACAGCTCTCTGTAGCTTCCAGAGGAAGGGTGCATGAAAGGTGAAATTTTTGGTATCTTGCTTATGTGACATCTTTGCTTTTATATCTTGCTCAGTTGGCCACATTGCTGTTGATAGCTTGACTGAATTTGGAAATGGAGTTAAAAATAACTACCTTCCCCATCTGTGTCTGGAAGCGTACCCTGGGAACCCTCAGAGTGGTTGTCTTTGCAGAGGAACCCTGGGGGTTAGCGATGGAGAGACGCCTCCTTTTCACTATATCACCTTTTGTAGTATTTTGTGTTAAAAAATAATTTGTAGACACTGTTTCATAACACTTAAAAAAAAGGACATTAGAAAACAGAAGTTACAGCAAATATGAAGAATTTAAATTACTCACCATTTTACCATGTATTACATTGTATTTAAGATTATTTAAACCATTTGAGCAATGTTTTTAGTGCAATACAATGATTTTAGGATTAGGGGGTTTTCTTTAGATTTTGCTATTGTGTAAGCCCCAAAATAATGACCACAATTGCGTCATATAATGGAATCTCATTATCTTGGTATCTCAAAGCTTTTAAAAAATTAGTTAAGATTTGGAAATTTTAAGGAAAAGGTGTACATTAAAACCAAATTTTGGCCACCCAAGGTTGAAGTCAATTGGTTTTAAGATTTTATTTTTTTTTTCCTTTTTCTCCCCAAAGCCCCCCAGTACATAGTTGTGTATTCTTCGTTGTGGGTTCTTCTAGTTGTGGCATGTGGGATGCTGCCTCAGCGTGGTCTGATGAGCAGTGCCATGTCCGCGCCCAGGATTCGAACTAACGAAACACTGGGCCGCCTGCAGCGGAGTGTGCGAACTTAACCACTCGGCCACAGGGCCAGACCCTGAAGTCAATTGGTTTTAAACAGTCTTCCCACATACTGAAGTTCTCAGGACTCAGCATTCCTGTTCCCAACACCACCACCGGAAAACATTTCCATATTAACTAGTCTATTTTTCCAGGGTTTTTCTTGGATTTTCACTGTTCAAGTAAATTGCAACTATGCTGGGCCTCTCTATGGACGATGCAAAATGCGAAGGGTGACATCCATGGAAAGGTTTCACTGCGTCACCTACATTGTAATAGACAAACCTTGGTGTTAAATGAGAATGTGAGGGAGAAATGGCTAAACCTATATTTCTGATAGGTGTTTGATTATAAAATGCTCTCAGCCTTGCCCTTAGGCACGAGGGCACTTTTAATTACGTGGATATTAATTGTTAATCTTTCTTGCTCTCTCCAACAATTGTGGAAAAAATGGCCAACAAGCAGCCTCTACACATACAAAGTTATTTAAAGGATGTTGAAAAAAGGTAAATCCCCATGCTTTACTTTAATCTAGAGACTGGTTCTCAGCCCAGGCTGAACGTTATAATCACCCAGGGAACTTTAGAAATGCTGCTGCTTGCGTCTCTCCTGAGAGGGTCTGAAGTAATTGGTCTGGCTACATCCTGGGTGTGGGGAGTTTTAAAAGCTCTCCAGGAAATTCTAAATGTGCAGCGGGCCTGAGAACCGCTCTCCAGGGCTGATACTGACCTCAAGAGACAGAAGGCAAGAGACGTCTTTGCTTCTCTCTGACGGGTGATTGACTTACCTCTTCAGACCCTGTCGTCTTCAGATATTGTATTACTTATTCAACATAGATTTTTCATTAAATTTTGTCAGTAAAATAATGTGTATTGAGTTTTATTTCTACTTCAAATTAATACATGCTACAGGCTCCCCACACTTAATTATTGTTGCGTTTTTGCTGTACATTCTTTGTCTGTTTTTTCACATTAAAAAATTAAATATACACAAAATATGAATCATGTGTACAGTGTAATGAATAATTATAAGATGAACTCAGGAAACCATACTGGGTCAACCAGCATGCTACAAGCTTCTTTTGTGCCCTTGCGTTCAGAAATAACTCTCAATTCTTTTGATATTTAATTTCTTGCCTTTCTTTATAGTTCTACTGCCTATGTACACTTTCCTAAACAATGTAGTTGAGTTTATCTATTTTTTTTCGGTTTTTAGCTTTACAGCTGTAGTTTAATAGTTTACATTGCCATGATATATTCCATTGGGTGAATATACCAAATTGACCCTCTATTGTTGATGGACATTTGGGCTGTTTGTGTTTATTGACTGTTGAGAACAATGTGCTGTGAACACTCTTGGTTATGTCTCCTGGTGCCTGTGTACACTAATTCCTCTAGCGTACATATTCCACGTGTGGAATTGCTGGGTCATCTGATACATGTATTTTCAACTTCAATAGAAAATATCAAATTGGTTTCCAGATTGTTATATCAATTCAGTCCTACAAGCGGCCTATAGGAGGTCTCATTGCTTTAAATTCTCCATAGATGTTGGTACTGCCAAGCTCCTTCAGTGTCTACCAGTATGGTGAATGCATAATGGTTTTTCCTTGAAGTTTTAATTTGCATTTCCTCAATTTGTAATGAGGCTAAGGACATGTAGCAGATGCTTCTATTGCATTGTGTTGTATCCCCTTGGCTCATCTTCTGCTTTCTTTGGGTTTTATCTGCTGTTCCTTCTCTTACTCCTTGAGACGGATTCTTAGCTCATTAGTTTTCAGCCTTTTTCCTTTCTAATATATGTAGTTAAGGCTATATGTTTCTTCCTAAGTATGGCTTCAGCGGCAGTCTGCAAGTTTTGGTATCTAGTATTTTCATTCACTTTCAGTTCCAAATATTATCTAATTTACTAATGTGTTTCTTTATTATCTAACATATGAAGATTTTCCAGAAATGTTCGTAAGATCATATTTGTTATTCAGAAAATTCATTTCTATCATTTTTTTGTCTGCTTGTTCTATCAGTTACTGACAGAGGAAAGTTAAAATTCTCCCAGCGCAATTGTGGATTTTGTTACATATATTTTGAGGCCAAGTTATTAGATATGTGCAAATTACAAATTGTTAGATCATCCTGGTCTGCTGAGCTTTGCATCATTTTAATCCAAGTAAAGCATTTTGCCTTGGAGTCTTTAGTTGATTTCAATATAGCCTGTTTTTTGCTTGATATATTTTTCCCTTCCTGTGATGTTCAACTCCAGAGTATCCTTTTATTTTAGGAATATCTTTTGTGAATTGCATAGAGTTACACTTTTTTTTTCCAATCAGAAGTTTTTTGCCTTTTAACTGGAACATTTAGCTTGTTTACATTTAATGTAATAACTGATATATTTGGATTTCCATATTATTTTGATCTTTTTATTTATACTACCTATTCTGTTTCTTTTTGTCTCCTATCTTGCTTTTTTTTGGGTTTGATTAATTATTTTTTTCCTCTAATAGTTTGGAAATTTTGCATTTTGATTCTCTTGTTTTAGCGATAACCCTAGAAACCACAACAGAGATACTTATTTGATCAAAATCTAGAATTCATCAACACGTTTACCCTCCTCTTGGATCATACAAGGCTTACACATGTTAATTATATTTATTCCCCTCCTGAAATATGTTAATGTTGTCGTATATCTTAATTCTCTCACTTTAACCCCATTAGTTGTTGTTGTTACTATTATTTTATAATCTATGTTTAGTTATCTTTATCCATCTCAGACCTTTCACGTGAGGTCACTTTCCTTCTACCTTTAAGATTTCACTAGACCAGGGCTGGCCCAGTGGTGTAGTGGTTAAGTTAGCATACACCACTTTGGTGGCCCAGGGTTCGCTGGTTCAGATCCTGGGTGGGGACCTCTGCACTGCTTGTCAAGCCATGCTGTCGCAGCATCCCACGTGGAAGAACTAGAATGACCCACAACTAGGATATACAACTATGTACTGGGGCTCTGGGGAGAAAATAGGGGGCCGGGGAAAAGAGGAAGATTGGCAACAGATGTTAGCTCAGGGCCAATCACCCTCACCAGAAAAACGTACTTAAAAAAAAAAGATTTTACCAGATATATATGAAGTTAGCAATTGTTTTCTTTTAATACATTGTAGATTTCATTCCAACCACCTTTTGTCTTCCACTGGTGCTGTTGAGAAAGCAATCAATCTATTATTTCTTTGCTTTAAGATATGTTTTTCCTTGTCTGATATTCTGCAGTTTCACTGTAGATGTGGATTTATTTTTATCTGTCCTCTCTGGGAATCACTGGACATATGAGTTTGTGGAATGATGTATTTCATCAATTTTTGGATCACTATTAGCTAATATCTTTTAAAATATCATCTCCGCTGTTTCTTCTCTCTGATCTCCTTCTTAAACAGCTGTTATACTATCTCACACTACCATCATTTTCAATGTATTTTTCACCTTTTTGTCTCTGTATAGAATTCTGAATAATTTCTTCGAATATGGCTTCTAGATCACATTTTCTCTTCTGAAAATTTAATATGCTGTCAAATTCATTCATTTAGTTTTAGTTTGGTTGTTTTTTAAAATTTTTCATGATTTAACTTGGTCCTTCTTATATAGTGTGTTAGTTCTATTTGACCGCTGTTTATAGTTTTCTGTTTGCTGATGATGTTTCTAAGGTTGTCTTTTATTATTTGAACTTAGAAGTATTTACAATCTATATCTGATAACTCCAGTATCTGTAGTCTACTCAGGTCTGTTTTAGCCGTCTGTAACAGTTGATTAGATTGTCATGGTTGTTACATTCTTGTGCTCTTGTGTGGTTGACTTTTTTTGATTGTGTGCTACTCACTGCCCTTAAAATTATTTGTGGGATTCCCCGAGGCCTAGGATGACAATGCCTCCTTCTAATGAGAGTTTGGTGCGTAGGTGCACACTGCATAGCACACAGGTGCCTGACCAGGTTGGTATACTTCAACTTCACAGCTCAGCTTTCTTGAACTGCGCTGGTGTGGTGAATTTGACCCTCAAATCTGCCAAGCACCCACCCACTTTGTGACTGATTTTGTCCTTTGTCTTTTCTTCGTTTATGGCTTCTTTTTCCAATCCATTGAGCACCAAAGGCAGCATTCTTCACAGCCCTTTGTGGATGAGAGGAAAGGAGCAGCTTTTCCCTGACTGTAAGAGTGTGACTCGCAGCATAATAAACTATAGTTTGCTTGTCCTCCTGAGGCCACCCTCAACAGCGGATGAGCTCTGTAGTCTTATCTAGAGAAACATATATGTAGTTAGGTATGTTATGCTTCTATTATTCTAAAGGTAGAAATATTTATCTAGAGAAATAAAAAAATGTGCAAAGCAACAAAAATACATATGGAGCAACTTTCCACCTGGCAGGCTGCTTCCACCTGCCTCATCCAGCATAGGCAACAGTTGGCGTTTGGAGGAGGAAAGTGATGTGTTCCACGTGTGAGAGTGTCACGTCTTACCAGTTGTCTCACAGGATCATGTTGCTTCCTGCAGTGAGAGGAAAACACGAGGGGACAGGGTTCTTGTCTTACACATGTTTACACCATTCTCCAGAATCGAGCTTTGCCCCGATAAACCACAGATGCACAGCAAATATTTTCTGGCCAAAATAACTTTGGTGCCATTGTCTCATAATTATTAAAAACCAGAAACAGTGCAGAAGTATTATTCCATCCAATATTTCTGGGGATTATGTGCTTTCTGGCACAGCAGCTTTGTTTGGCTACCAGCACGCTTCTCTCTCCCTGTTTCTCTGGTTACATGCTCTCACCTCTGCTGACCGACATGGAGGTCATGTGATCCAGTATTGGCCAATCAGAGAGCCTCCCTCTGTGCCAAATTGTTCATGGATGGGGATATTATGCAAGCCAAGCTCACCAGAGTCTTTCTTTGAGAATGTTCTTTACAGAACTTGGGAAGGCCCTCTGACACTTTTCCCAGGGAGCCAGAAGGATGGGCTACTTTCCTCCATATTCTTTGCTATATGGAGAGAGCCAGTAGAAAGACAGGACACCAAGCGGAGACAAGAGGCGTGAAGAGTGGAAGAGAGCTCTGTGGCACCGACTCCCCCTTCCGCGCCTCTGAGACCCCTGGAGCAGCCCCGGTTCCCTAGCCTTCTCTTCAGTTCTTAGAACTACCCCAGTATCCTTTGAACAAATTACCCTTCTGTCATAAGTTATCCTGACCTGGGTTTCTGCCACTCACAATGGACACTTTTAATCCTAAATTCTATTTAAAAAAAAAAAAGAAAGGATGTGGTGAAAGGAACGAAAATTCACACCAACTTTGAAATAAAGTAGGGCAGGTAAACATACTTTTACACATTTTCTTTCAGTGCAATTCGTTTGTCCCTGCGTTTCTTCCATAGTTTTTCGTGGGTAGTATCCTCAGATTCACATACCAAATGCACTCTCTCATCGTCCAAGATGAGCTGTGTTACTAATGGAAGAGAAGAATACCAGCAATGTGGATTTTCAGAAGTTTGAGGGAACAGAAAATCATGCCACTCTGTATTAAGAAATCCCAAATTTAGTGCCATGCTCACATCAAGGGATAATCAACTTTGTGGCATCAAACTCCTTCAGTTAATAGGATGACACCAGGGTTATGCACCTGTTGTCTCCCACTCCATCCTACCACAATGTGGCCCTTGGGAGAGGATCCTGAAGTTAAATAAAGAGGAGATGTGTGCGGGAAACCAAGCGTTTCCTTTTCCTCTCCTTTAGTTGTTTTCATTCCCCCAAGACTTGCTCCCCACCTTAGTCTCTCTGTCTTCAAATAAAGCATTGTCTTCTTAACCTAGATACAAGAATCATGATTAAGATTCAGTGATGTACATGTTTACCTAAAGACATGCATCAAGTTCATGGCAGCACTATTCGTTCTAGCCCCAATGGGAAACAATCCAAATGGTATAATTGGTTCTTGACCTTAAAGAAATAGACAGCCAATGATTTCTCCACCAAAAATGGGTTTACTCGAGATCAGCAAGGAATTACAATTCGGAATGTGCATGCTATGGGGAACCATAGGCAAATCTAGAGAGACAAAGGAAGTGGCTTGCTTTCATAGAGCAAAGGGGCTGTTCTAAATGAAAGTCTTGGAGGAAAGTAACAGTTCAGGGTGGTGATGGCTTCTCCTTGGCTGAGCTGCAACGTTTTTCATTGGCCGGGCTGTTGCCAGGTAGAGAGAAGTCTTCCTTCAGTAGTAAAGTAGTTGCACTTTTTGCCGGAGATGTAAGTGTTTGTCTTTTCCTGTTTGGAGTAGTTGATGATGTGAGGTAGAGCACGAGAGCTCCCCAAAAGGCCTTCCCGACTCCAATTTAGTTGGGGTTTCTTTTATCAGTTTCCACAGGATAAATTGTGATGTGTTCATACAGTGGAATACTATATGACAGAGAAAATGAATGAACTAGCTCTATGTGCAACAGTGTGGATGAATCTCACAAGCCCGATTTTGAGTGAAAAATCACGCCAACACAAAAGAATGAAGCGCATTTACAAGAAGTCCTCAAATAGGCAAAACTAATCAGTGGTGTCGGAAGTTTTGACAGGGTAGCCTCTGAGAAGAAGGGAGTGGAGAGTAACCGGGCGGGGGCCTGTGAGGGGCCTCTGGGGTGCTGATTCTTTTTTGTGACTTGAGTGTGTGTGATCACTTTGTAAGAATTTGTCGATTTGTATACTTACGGCTTATGAACTTTTCTACACATGACTTACATGGATATAAAAATTAAAAAAAATATGCCAATGCTCTAATGGGAAAAAAACATCACAAAGGAAATGGTGCACTTTGGAGAAGCTCCCCATGAACTTCTCAGAAGCCTACTAAGGGAGCAATAAGGAAAGCTGGGTGGAATCAGGGTTGAGTGGAAGTGACAGGAGAGAAATTACTTCCATTGAGAGAACAAGTTCTTTCCCTGGACTCCTCTGGAGATCTGAAATAGCCTGTAATTGGAATTTGGGCAGAAAGATTGCTTTGTAATCAAAACTGAAGTCCTCAAGGATTTCCAAGGAGCTCAGCCTGTTGCTAAACTTTAAAAAAAATGAACAATTAATCAGCTCATCAACACTCACAGATTGTAAAAACCAAAATATGGACACATTTCCAAAATGATTCAGATCAACTAGGAAGGTCAGAGCCAAGTGCACATCCAGGGCGTTCCAGGGACATTTCCGCTGGTCACTGGCCTTTGTGTCAGAGCAGGAATATGGGACTGAGTTTGCCATTGTTCTGGCGCCAAATGCAATTTTTAGTTCTAATGCAAAAATTTGTGATTGTTAGTGCCCTGGAGTCAACCCCGACTCCTAGTGATCCTGCGCACAGCAGAGCAGAGCCCTGCCCGGTTGTGTTGCGCCATCCTCTCTCCTTCCGGTGCTCTATCAAACAATGTGCTGCTGCCATTCATAGGGTTTTCATGGCCAATTTTTTCAGAATTGGGTGGCCAGGTCCTTCTTCCTAGTCTGTCTTAGTCTGGAAACTCTGCTAAAACCTGTCCACCATGGGTGACCCTGCTGGTATTTAAAATACCAGTGGCATAAACCTTCAGCATCACATCAACATGCAACCACCACAGTATGACAACCAACAGATGGGTGGTGTGGTTCCCTGACCAAGAAACAAATCCGAGTGCTGGTGGTGAAAGAGCCGAATCTTAACCACGAGACCACCGGGGCTGGCTAATGCAGAATCATGGTATCTGTTTAGACCTGAGCCGCCAAGAGAATATTCCAAAGAGGGTCTTCTCCTCATTAAAGTGCAAAATGAACAGGTCCTGCAGGAGTGAGAATGGAAGGGACATTTTCTTGCCCTCCTTGCCTTGTAAGGGCTCCTTTGCGAAGCCTCGATGGAGGCAAGACCAACAGGAGGTGAACTTCTCAGCCCCTTTCTCAGCATCCTCCTCCAGCTGGGTGTCCCCCTAGCCCCCTGCCTGACCTGCACTGCCTTTCCTCCAGGAGCAGCTCCGCTTCTTTCTTAGCTCCTCCATCTCAGGGCGTCACCCCCTCTACATTCATGGAATTGACCACTGGGATGCATTTTCAGGTCCTTCCTTCCCTTCCCCCATCCAACTAGTCATCAAAATCTGTGGCTTGCCTCTCGCCCCATCTAGAATAGTGTTCTCAACCTCACACACACTGAAATCACCGGGAAAGCTTTAAAGCACAGATGCCTGGCTCCCACCCCAGAGATTCTGATATAGTTGGTCTGCGGGTGCAGCATGGGCATCCTTACTTTAGAAGTCCGCTGATTCTGTTATGCAGCCCAGGTTGAGGACTTCAGCTCCAGATTCAACCTCTTCCTCTCCACTCCTGTGCTGACTTCTCTTGTTCTCTCTTCTCTGCACTATTGCAATAGCCTGCTAACTCATTTGCAATGTCCAATCTCCTTATTCTTGTCCACTTGTTCTGTCCTGTTGATATCCTAACCTAAAACCTTAGCACTGGACATTCAAAGCTTGCCAAAAGTAGTTCCTACTTACTTTTTCAATCTTATTTTATTCCACCCACCCCATACCCCCACACGTCTAAGTACATAGGTCCACCCCCCACCCATCAACCTGCCTACACTTTCCTGGTACCTGTTGGGATTCTCTTCTGTCAACACTCAACTGGAACTCCACATCTGGAAATCTTCTTGGATCCTTCCATAAATCCATTATTTAATGAATCTTTTCCTTCTCCATTTTCCCATAGCACATTGTTTATACCCAGGAAGCACTCACAGAGTCTGCCCTATGTCCCATATAGGTATGGATTTGCTATTCCAATGAGACTGAGAGATCCTAGCAGACAGGGCCCATCCACTGTATGTAGCAAGTGACCTTGTAGGCTTCTTTGCAGCTAGGGTGGCTCTTTACAGATCTCTGGCTCAGGAGATGTAGGCGGAAGTCCTGGGGGAGGCTCTGCTGTGCTTCCCCTCTCTGTCTGCCCGGAATGCAGACATAGGAGCTGGAGGACCAGCAGCCATCTTTTGACTGCCAGGGTCACATGGTAATGATGATGAAGCTGGAAGACAGAACCATGACATTGTTTTGGGTTGGTGTCACTCATTGATAGTGATGCTATTGGCTAGGAATGCCTAGGGGAACTCACCTGGGCCTGTACTACTTGTGGAGTCCCACAGACATTTCCCTGACTGGAGCCAATGTTGAGGTTGGACCAGCTGTTGTGGTTCTTATTATGATTGCATAATGCACCTCAGCAACCATCAGGGAACTTTGAAAACGCAAGGCTTATTACTCACAGGTGGTACATGCCACGTCCAGGGCCACGCAGCAAAGTCACAGGTAGAGAGAGTATGAGAGCTTGGACCTGGGGTTCTGTCTTTATTGGGGTCGAGGGTGGGGTGCCTAGGGTTTTGCAGGCTCATTCTTTATTGGTGAATTTAAAATATAAGAGAAAGAATGAAAGCATCAGAAGGCAAAAGTGGGGTCATTCAAACAGTCGGTTATCGAGGTCACCTAGGACTTTCTAGAAGGGGAACTTCATGGGTGGGGCAGCCTGGCTCTTTATCTAGTTGTGTAGCTGGTGATGTGTTTATTCCAGATGAATGTCTTTGAAGAGGATGCCTGGCAATCAAAGGCTTCATGTCAGGCACCTCATTATAATCAAAAAAGCTAATTGTCAGGTACTTAGAGCACAGACATCCTCTAGCATTGGCATTCGCCTTAGACTGTTAACGACTAAACTTCACATCAGTCACATGAGAAAAATAAACCTCTTTGTTTGCTCAAGCTATTCTTCGTCAAGCTTTCTGTTTGTGCCACCAAAAAAAAAAAAAAAAGCCTGGTGTCTCTAATGTAGGGGTGCAAAACTTTTCCCTTCTTCCCTTCTGGGTTCTTTGAATGGTTTAATAATTATGTTGACATAACACAGATTAACAGGAGAAAAGCAAATTTAACTACAAATTTAGTTATGGGAGCCCCATAAAAATATGGGACTTACAGAAGTGACCAAAGCAGGAAGATTTTATACCTTTTAGACAAACAATAAACTTGTGAAGAATTAACAAGACAAAGGGGTTTGGGCTTGGGTAGTAAATTGTTGAAGAAGTGACGAGTTTTGTTGATACAGCCTTCCTGGCCCTAAATTCGCTGTCTCTGCTGATGAGGTTGCCTTCTCTCCTCCTGGTACAGGAAGGGTCCCTGTCACATAGGAGACTGATCACCTGCTTTCAAGAGGACAAAGGGAGGTCAGATGACTTTCTTGCATGGGCTGTTTCACAAGTATCTTTAATTTGAAATAATCGATATGCCAAAGGGGGTGTAATCTGCTCCCCTTCACTAATCTGCAAAATGTCCTCTCCCATACCTCTGGTTAAATAAAGGAGAGTTCTTAAACTAGCCTGCTTTACACGAATGCATTTAGAACAAGGTATGCACACTCAGTAGCCATAAGGTGATTAACAAGTACTTTATTTTCTGCAGTTCATTTTCCTTTGACCTCTTATAAGCCTCCTACACTCCTTAAGTGATTTCTGAGAACTTTCTACCAGCTGAGCTGCAGCTATAGAGTGGTCAACCAGCCTCACAGCATCACTGGCTGTGCTGTGCTTGTAAATGGAGATCTAGTTTGTGCATTTGCCAATTTCTGTGGTGTAAATATTTCACCATGGTTGATTTCAAGCTTGCAACAGAGATGCACACAATTGGTCTGTGGGAATCCTAAGTGCTGGCTGCACACAGCCCTGGGACTCAGTGCCCTAAAAGAGCACATGAGGTTCTCTTGCTAAAATCATTTTTTAAGGGTGAAAGAAATGTGTGTTTCCTAAAACACACATCTCTAGATAAAAGGCTTTTGATGACTGGATCCACTTCCTGGGGAATTGCTCAGAGGCTGAGTGGGTTGGATCATAGGCCTGTGGTTTTCTTTTACTCTGAACTCCTCAAAAGTCTTGGCCAGAGCTCTACAACCTTTCCATTTTCTTTTGTGTAATGCAGATTAGGAAACACACCATCCTCACTCTAATTTCTTTTTGGGGGGGGTTTAATAGGCCAATTTTTCTGACAGTTATGTTTGATCCATCGTAAGCTGGTCTGACATGTTGAGAATTATTATGAATTGTTTCTACCTTTAGTCATTTAACATAAAATTTCCTTATGCTGAACTTCATTTAAAGCATTCTCCCACTAGGGAGCATCTAAACCAACAGAGACTGGCCACCCAGTGTTGCCAATGGCCGACTTTCAATGACGCTCATGAGGGTGCCTCCCCTTGGTGGATCCTTGCCTTCCCCAGCCCCACCCACTTGTTTGTACCATAGGGATTTGCCCATCCTCTTGGGCTGAATTGGTGAGATCTGCATTATGCCCTTCTAAATTACAACTTCATTAATTGGGCCTCTTAACTAGGGATTTGCTATACACAGATGTTTAGTGCATGTTTCCCGTTATACTCTGAAGGAAGTGTTTGCTAAGCAAATTAACAGTGTAATCAAGATCCCAGCGAGAATGTTAAAGTGATTAAGAGTCAAAGGTAAATTACTATCGAGTATAATTGACTATTTAAATAAATACCTCAGGGTCTTTCCCTAGAAACATCTTGTGAGGCAAATAATCTCAGTTATTTTGTACACCTAGAAATCATAAAAGTTGGATTTCTTCTTGCATTATTCTATAATGCAGATTTATGTGACTTCACCCTAAATTGTGTGAATGAGAGCTTTGAGTGTACTTCAAAGAATAGTTACAGAAACACTAATTCTATTCTATAAAGGCTATATTATTGTTTAACTTTAAACAAGATATGTAGCCTTTCTGTGTGATTCCTACTTAGGTGTGGATAACTTGCTAGTCAATTCATTTCTGTTGTTTGGTTTGCTCAAGTTTAAAAACAGCGTTTATCTGCCCACACAGACTTGGATATGAGTGTTCATAACAGTTTTTATTTATAGTAGCCCAAACTAGGAAGAACCCAATGTCCATCAACAGGAAAATGGATAAACAAATGTCGATATATTCATACAAAGCAACACTCCTCAACAAGAAGCAAACTCCTGGTGCATGCAGCCTGGATAAATCTCAAAAACATGATCCTGAGCGAAAGAAGCCAGACACAAAGTGTTAACACTATTTACTCCATCGATAAGGATTCAGGGAAAGACTAGTCTCATCTACAGTGACTGAGAGCAGAGTAGTGGTTGCCTTGGGTGGCCAGGGGTTTAGAGTATGGACATCCTTGGGGGTTACTATTCAGCTTACCACAGTCTGCCTTCAGGTTCCCAAAGATTCATGTCCATCCCCCATGCAAAATACAGTCACCCTATCCCAGAATCCCCCAGATCCTCAAATCTTTACAGCATCAACTCAAGTCCAAAATCTCATTTACGTCTCGTGGGATCAAAAGTCCCAAATCTCATCATCTAAATCATTGAAATCAGGTATGGGTGAAATTCTGGCATGATCTATCCTGGGGCAAAATTCCTCTCCATCTGTGGACCTGTGAAATGAGAAAACAAATTGTCTGCTCCCAAAGTACTGTGGTGGGACAAGGCATAGGATAACAGTTGTGGACATTCCTTTTCAAAAGGGGAGAAAATGAAAGGAAAAAAGGAGTTACTGGTCTCAAGCAATTTCAAAATCTAGTAGGACAAATTCTGTTAGGTTACAAGGTTTAAGAATAAGCCTTTCTGGCTTGAAGCTCCATGCTCTGAGCCCTTGTCTTTGGCTTTGGGAGGGCCAACTGGTCTACCCCCCAGTCAGGACATCCCCCCCATATAAGGTAGCAAACTGACGGGTTCTAGCGGTTAGCATGTGGACATCCTTGGGGGGCCATTATTCAGCCTACCACTGCTGGTTACAAAAGTGTACAAATCTGTCAAAACGCAATGAAATATACACTTAGAACGGGTGTCTTTTATTACATATAAATTCTACCTCAATAAAGTTGATTCTTAAAAGAAAAATAGGGTTGATTCTCCCTTGCCATGTTGTCATCAAGGATGTTTTCAGAGTTAAATGGCTTAAATGTCTCAAAGAAAGTTGTCACGGAATGTGTGGAATCAGTACTGTAATCGTCACTGTAATCGTAAGTAAGATCATTCTGCTTATTTTGAAATGAACTTCAGAGAGCAGGAGGCTCTTTAAAGCTGGAGAACATTTTGGAAAGATTCTTCCCTGGGGCTTCATATGCTAAGTGCAGTAAAGCAAGGAGCAGCCTCCACCTCTGGGTATGTAAACCTGTCTGGGAGCTCAACCCTGAGACTTTGACCTTGGCAAGATGACTAACAGCATCTTCGGCTTTGCTCAAGGTGGCGGTGTCTCTCTCGTTATTCATGTCCGTATGATGCACACGGTTCTCTGAAGGGGACTGAAGCACTTGCTCACAGGGCTGTGTTCTAGAGGTTAAATAATCAAAGAGCCCCCAATGTGGAGTTCAGTATGGGAGTAGTGAGCTCCAATGAGCCACGTGTCATATTCCACCTGGGAATTCACGATTCGGCCCCGTGTTTCTCTGTTGGTTACCTGCACCAGAATCACTTGGTGTGCGCGAGAACGCCTCGGGACTCATTGAAATGCATGTTCCCTACCCCTACGAAGACCTGCGAAATTGCAACTTGCACAGGAGGCCTGCATTCTGCATTTCCTAAGCTCCCCAGGGCATTCTATGCTCCCCAAAGTCTGAGAACAACTAGGCAAACGAGATTGAGAAAAAGTAGAGAGGCTGAGGAACCAAGAGGCTGCAGCCTCCTAGAAACTCACGGAAGAGCTTGAGGAAGGTGATTGTGTTTCCACCCTGTCAGATGATCCTAGGAGATCAAGTAGAGTGTTGCTGATGACCAGGAGGTCACGGGACTTCAGCAGGTGCTGCTTCAGTGGCGTGGGAAGAGAAGGGGGCGGGGGCTCCCCGGGGAGCGAAGAGAATGGCTCCGTTAAAGTTAAAGCGTTTTGATCCTGCAATCCCCCTCTTGTGTCTCCCTGGTATCACATGAAATACTTGTCCACGTGCACAGAGATAGGCACAGTGACGTTCCGCTGAAGCATTGCTTTGAATGGAAAAATTGGGTTTTAAATGTCTATCAAGAGGGGAAGACTAAATAAACCAGATACGCACATGTTACGGAACTCTCTGCAGCATCTACAAAGAATGAGGTGAAATGTCCTTGAGAGAAAAAAATAAGTGTCATCTAAGGATCTATATTTTCATAATCACCCATAAATGTATCTAAATGTGGAGGAGACAGTCTGAAAAGAATCACACCACATGGTAACAGCGACTTTCTGAAAAAAGAGACTGGATTTGAGGGGATCCGTTCTGCTAAGACATGGCCTCTGGAATAAGCCTGCTGGGGCTCAGATCCAGGCTTTGTCTTCCACTGCTGTGTGACTTT